ATATATATATATATATTAATTTTAATCAAATGCATTTAGTTGTTTCTTAATGACCTTTTATTGTTGCAAAGTATTATTTGAAATTAAGTCATCTAATATTTTTACCAATATTTAAACAAATAGTGGTACTTTAAGTAAAAAATAAACAAATAAATAAAATATATAAAATCTAAATATATATGATATATTTTATATATCTTTTATTATTTTGTTTTTATATTTTTTTATTATTTTATTTGTATTTTTTAATTAAAGTTCACTTTTTGTTTAAATATTGGTAAAAATATCTGACTTAACTTCAAATAATACTTTGCAACAATGAAAGGTCATTTAGAAACATCTAAACGCATTTGATTTGAACCACATGAGAATGAATGAACATTATTCTCCGGAAACAACTTTTTAAAACAATTTTTATATAATTTACATAATTTATATAAACTTATATCAATTTATATAAAAAAAATTTATGTATGTACTGTATATTTAAATTTGTAAAAAAAATATTACCTGACTTAATTAGGCCAAGTTATTCCAAGGTTGTAATGACTTTAGGTCTTTTTTGTTACTTTAGCCAGTAGGTGGTGCTGTCAACAATATTCCTAATTTGCATTACACATTATGACAAAATGCATGTCAATAGGTCAAACGGTTTGATGGCATGGCCTCACTTTTCTATGCCGTTTCCGCCATCGGATTCATTGATGCGTTTCATGGGAATGGTTTGACATATAAAACAATTTCTAATAATATTCAACCGGCACACCTTCAAGGTCCTCTGTACCAAATTTCATGAAAATCAGACAAAAGTTGTAGGATGTTTTTTTTTTTTTTGGTAAAATGTAAAATGCCAGAAAATCTAATCGGAAATCAATTGAAACTGCCATGTGCAATGACCAGCATGATGATCTCTGTACTCTCTATTTGATTAAATAGACATGAGCTAAAACTTTGAACTGTTGGCTGACATCTTTCTGCCTTAAGGGGAGAGCAAAAAATGGTGAGATTTATCAACTAATCAAACATAAACACACCAGATTTAGAAGAATTCAGTGCGCAGTTGCAAAACCATCTCAGTCACACTGATGTGATTAGTAGTTTCGCACAGCAGACCAAAAAATGACTCATGTGTTTCATAAGATCCTCTGAGAGCGAGAGTCACAGAGGTCAGACATGACAGTGGGTCAAAAGCATCAGAGAGGAAGTGCTTCCTGCAGAGACTGTGGGGCTGGGTTTCAAAAAATCAAAATCATAATAATCGAATATTATAGAGTAATTCAAAGAGGATGCAAACAATACTTCCCTAAAATGTTTTTGTATGTTTTCAATGTTATGTCCATTAAATAATCAGTGCTTATTACTATACGAAGAAAGGGAAATGTGATCTCAAAGTCTAGACAAACTGTACACACACTAGACACACTACAGCAAAAGATAAGAACTTAAAACCATTTTTTTGTTGGTGAAAATGGCCTAAGACTTTTGTACAGTACTGTATGTTAAGAGCAACTGATCTGCTTCATTTACAGCACTACACTCTTACTACAATAAAGGTCAACTATTTTATACTTTCTCCTACAATGGCAGATTTTTTAAGACAAACATCTGACACAAAGAACTTGATTCTCAGTGTGATACTATTTAAATACAAATTCATTGGAAGCGTAATGGCGTAAGTTTTCCGCTGATAGTCTATGTTTATGTGTGAAGTGAGTCATTTTATTATCATCTGAATGAGGTCTTTGCCGTGGGGCTGCAGGTCAAACATGCTTCAGTCTGGCGGGTCACTGTCTGCTGTCCGTCTACACTGGGCACATTGTTAAAGCTGCCAGCTCACCAGTTTGTGAACGGCAGTGGGAGTCGTGGAAGGGCCAACAGAGAATCAATGACAACCCACACGCTCCATTTCTCACGCAACTCATCTCAATCCCATGTCTTTCAACTCTTGACCTCTTCATTTAAAGGGATAGTTCATCAAAAAGTGAAGATTTTGTCATTAATTACTCACCCTCATGTGGTTCCAAACCCGCAAGACCTTCGTTCATCTTCTGAACACAAATGAAGATATTTTTGATGAAATCCGAGAGCTTTCTGACCCTGCATAGACAGCAAGGGAACTACCACGTTCAAGGCCCAGAAAGGTAGTAAGGACATTGTTAAAATAGTAAAAAATTTTGTTTTCTTTGTGCACAAAAATATTCTCGTAGCTTCATAACATTACGGTTGAACCACTGATGTCACACTGACTATTTTAACAATGTCCTAACTACCTTTCTGGGTCTTATTGTAGGCAGCATCAGCAGGATATCTGGATTTTCAGTATTAATCAACATCATTTGAGCAAATATCTGTGCAGCAATGCCACACAGGAACGTGACGCGACTGCCAAATGGGCCGGTTTATTTGAAGGGCAGGTTATTTCTCTGGAGTAAAGTATTACTGAAGGTGAATGTGTCTGGCTCGACTACCACTGAGACAGTATTAATAGTGACAGGTGTGCTGGAGTCCTGCAGCTCATTCACTAGCGTCTGGGACCACACAATCCACTTTTACTGCCTCGGTTTACAGCCTATCAGACTAAGCAGCTTAACAGCGACAGCCTTCTGAGAGCACACTTCACCTCCACCTTCATCAATCAATCGCTGCTTACAGGCCTTCGGAAACCAAAATAAACAACTTGCCAACGAGAAACTGGACCGTGTCATGAATCTATAAGGATCGAGGGGCCATGAGGGGAATAAAATGGGGTGAAATACAGAATAAGGGGTGGATTCAGTAGAGTCGCACCAATTTTGTGCATTTTACAGTTTACACTTAGTGTTACTGACTTTGTGCCAACACAAACATACTTGGTATCAGGCCTTAAAGGAATAGTTCAGCCAAAAGTGAAAATGTGCAGAAAATGTGCTCACCCTCAGACCATCCAAGATCAGGATGAGTTTGTTTCTTCATCAGATTTGGAGAAATGTAGCATTGCATCACTTGCTCACCAATGGATGCTCTGCAGTGAATGGGTGCTGTCAGAATGAGAGTCCAAACAGCTGATAAAAACATCACAATAATCCACAAGTAATCCACACCACTCCAGTCCATCAGTTAATGTCTTTTGAAGTGAAAAGCTGCTTGTTTGTAAGAAACAAATGCATTATTAAAATGTTTTTACTTTAAACCATCACAAGTTCCAGCTAAAATACAAGTCCATAATACATAACATATTTTCGCTTGTTTGCTTGATCTGTGCATATTTCTCTCCTGATTCAGATGAGACAAAACAAATCCATCAAGACATTTTGAACTTCAAACCGTTTCTTCCAGCTAAAATATAAGTCCTTTTTATGAAGCTTTCATGTTCAGATAAAAAAAAAAAAAAAAAAATTAGTGACATAATAAAGCTGAATTTAAAATCATGTTAAAACAAAAACAAAACACTTAGTAAAAATAATAAATATTTTACTTGTTAACCGGAGTGTAATGTAATCAATAACATCAGTGAATGTGCAAATATGTTGTGAAATTGAAATATTAATTATTAATCTCAAATTTCAATCTTAATTTCAAGTAAATATTTTAGGTCAAAGGGGTTTAACTGATAAAAAGGGTGATAAAAGTGTAAATGGACTAGAGGTCACAAATTAATGTATGAATGAATAAATAAATATACTGTATGATACTTTCTACTTAGTGGTCTCGTCCCAAATCGATCGACTATGAATGTGCATACTTATAGGAAGCTTTCTTGTTCAAGTTTAGATTTTAAAAATAATTACTAAAAAATTCAATAATTAGTGAAACCATAAAAATGTCAAATAAATAAAAACAATAAAAAAACTTACTAAAAATAGGAAATATTTGATTTGTTTACCTGCATGTAATGTGACCATTAAGCATGATCAGTCAGCATTCTGCATATTGTTCAATTATTGAAATATTAACACTCTCTAGTTATCGGTCTGAGTTGATGAAAAACTTATAATTATTAATTAAATCATAAAAATTTGAAATTACATTAATTTTAAAAATAAAACAAAATAAAACACTTACTTAAAAAATGTAACTATTAACCAATATCAGAAACTGTGAACATGTAAAAGTGTTCAGCTGAATATTTAAGGTAAAAAGGGTTGACTGAAAAAAAAAAAGTTGGGTTTAGGCATGACACTCCATTGGTATCGGCCATCAAAACAGAACAATATTAAATACATCATCAAAAGAAGCTCTTTTTTTCATGAAGATTAAAAAATGACATGCAGATGCATCACAGTAGGCTGAAAACCAGAGTACCAGAGTTCAAAATACACTTTCACACCAATAAACTTTGACACCAATCTCTCTATAGTGAATGGACGAGAGAAAATAAGCACAAGAATGGGAGTGAATGTGGCGGTGGGCTGAAATGAAAAGGCCCGGGTGAATTCCTACCCACTCTACAGATTTGGCATCGTTCACGGGAGGCTCTCGCTGCAGGAGAAACCGTAAAAGGCTGGATTTGAGCGGCCGCCAGTGGAATGAGCCAACTATTTCTCATTTGGACCTGACCAGCCGATGACCCTCCTGTTGGAGAGATGGAGCTCTGGAAAAACAAAAGCACTAGCAACGAACCGAGCAAAAGGAGGGACTGTCTGACGAACATCTGCAGAGACAAAAACAACAATGAACAGTTTATTCTGACAGTTGATACACTGCAAAAAAAGAGACTTTTTCACTCAGTATTTTCGTCTTGTTTTACTGCACAAATACCACCACTTGAGAATGGCTCAAGATATTAAGTCTTGTTTTCTGAAAAATGCCAAAAAAAAAAAAAGAGTTTATGCTTAAAACCAAAAGATTATTTGTCAGTGGGGTAAGAAAAACATAATTCAAAGGGAAATTTTTAAGTATTTTTGAAACCAATGCTGCATTTAGTTGATCAAAGATACAGTAAAAACAGCAAATAATGTTAAATATTATTACACTTCTTTTTGAATGTTTTAAATTGTAATTTATTCAGCATCATTACTCCAGTGTCACACGATCCTTCAGAAATCACTTCAGTTGTTATGCTTGGTGAAACTCACAGACGAAAGGCGAGAGGATCCAAATGCAGATGAGATTTCAGATGAGCAATTAACAGGAACCAAAACAACAGAAGCCAGTAAAAGAACAAGACTAGACAGAACATGGGCAAACACTGGGGTATAAATACACAGAACAAAGAGGTCTCGATCAGTTGTCATGTATACAAACAGGGAAAGGGGCTGGTGCATTAATTGTCATAGAGACAAACAGAGGTAACCCCAGGAACAAACAAGGCAAGGCAAACAAGGACAGGAACTGAACAAAGGAAGCGAACGGGGAAACAGTAAGAACAGAAACACATTACAAATCAAGAGTCCTAAAACACAAGAACCGGGGAACACAGGCTGAAATTATGACACTATTTGCTGCTCAAGAAACATTTCTGATTATTACCAATGTTGAAAACAGTTGTGCTGCTGAATATTTTTGTGGGTAAGTAATACTTTTGTTCAGCAAGGACACATTAAATTGATGAAAAGTGACAGTAAAGACATTCATAATGTAACAAAAGATTCCCGTTTCAAATAAATGCTGTTCTTTTCAACTTTCTATTCGTCAAAGAATCCTGAAAAATAAAACATATCACCGTTTCCACAAAAATATTGGGCAGCACAACTGTTTTCAACATTGATAATAATCAGAAATATTTCTCGAGCAGCAAATCAGCATATTAGAATGATTTCTGAAGATCATGTGACACTGAAGACTGGAGTAATGATGCTGAAAATACAGCTTTGATCACAGGAATAAATTACATTTTACAATATATTCACATAGAAAAAAGTTATTTTAAATTGTAATAATATTTTAACATTTTTACTGTATTTTCGATCAAATAAATGCAGCCTTGGTAAATAAAACACTTCTTTCAAAAACATTAAAAAATCTTAATTCCAAATTTTGGAATGGTAATGTATGAACTCACTTAATTTTTATACATTTTTCAATAAAACAAGATTTAATATCTTAAAGGGGTCATATGATGCTTTTTTAAAGATCATTATTTTGTGTATTTGGTGTAACAGAATATGTTGACATGCTTTAATGTTCAAAAAACACATTATTTTTCAAATACTGTACATTATTGTAGGTCCTCTATGCCCCGCCTCTCTCAAACGCTTCGTTTTCTACAAAGTCCCTCCTTCCGACAAGCGCAGTCTGCTCTGATTGGCCAGCTGACCCAGTGCATTGTGATTGGCCGAACACCGCAAGCACTCGTCGGAAATGTAACGCCCCTTACCATAATCGCGAGCTTCATCTTTCAAAATAAATGTAAAGACAGAGCCCGAAAGGGGAACAGAGTCGCGTGACAGACACAGTGATGAAGCTGGTATGTGTTTGCAGTACGTAAGTCACGGTTAAGACGGCTGACTCCACTGTGATGTGTCCCTGTCTCTCTCTCACACACACACGCGTGCGCACGCACGCACACACACACACACGCACGATGCGCAAAACTCCGCATTTGAACAGTCAGTCAATAGCAAATACTTAAACTAGTAACAAAACATACTTACAGTAGCTGATTCAGAAGCGCCAGATTGTCATAGCAAAGTCAGAATTACCTCCTCTCCTAGGTTCACGAAACGGTCGTCCATAAAATGCATTGCTGTTCTGTTGTAAGTAATCTTAAAGATTCCTAAATGCATCTACTTTCGGAAGGCCAAGTAAAGTGCTTTTGCTTTCGCCTAGAAACACACAGCGTCTCCCTGACATGCTGCTTCAACACTAATTGTGGTTAGTGAAACCACGCCTTCTTTCTTTGCGTGATCATTTGGGCGCATTATGCAAATATTTTCACATAGTGAGGTAGATATGTGGGGCGTGTTAGAACGAGCCGTTTTAGGCAGGCGTGGTTGACTCTTAACTTTTATAAAGAATATCTCTTTGGATTTGAGACTTTAGTCTTTGCAACTTCAGAGATCTTATCTATGCACAATCAGCTTGTAACACTCCAAAGAGAAAGGAAAACTTGAAATCGCATCATATGACCCCTTTAATTGTCCTTCTCTAATAAACGTATCTTGGTTTAAGAGGTTTAAGGTATTCGTAATTGGAAACGAGAAAAATACTACGTAAGAAAATCTTTGATTGTTTTTTTTGCAGCAAGCCTTCAAACTCGATATCTTTACTTTTCCATCATGTCTCCAAAAGTGACATTCTTTGAGTTCTGGCCAAACCAATGAGAGGGTATTTTTTTTACCAAAAAACAAACAAACAAAAAACACGTGATACACAAATGAACAGAAGCCGAGAGAGGGCAGGACACGTGCTTGTGTGTTTGAGGCTGCGGTGGGTTTGTTGAACCTTCCAAAACACACAAAATTCAACAAGCAGGGGCCAGATATCATGTGTCAGTGCGATGTTTATTACCGGGGGCCCCGTTTGGCTGAGGAATGACTCAGGGCTTCCAGTGACAGAGAGGAGGAGCCCAACGAAGTGTGTTTTACACTCAACCCCCTCTGAAAAAGCCTAGAAGAGAAATGCTCCACATATCCGGCAGCTTTGCAGAGGCCTGCCCTCAATTATCCTCCCACAAAGCTGCTGAAAAAAACACAAAACTATCTGACCGGGCAGAGCGTTTGATGTTGCCACGCAATGTTTGACAGAGAACAGGACGGCTTTGAAAAAGAGAGGTCTGTGTGAACTTGCCTGCTCTCGCTCAACATTTGGAAACGAGGCTCGGGGAAGCAAATGCCATTGGATTGGAAGCAGCTGCTGAGTTGAAGAAACATGGTTTTAAACAGGGCCGTATGTGCCAAAACATCTAAAAATGTCACTTGTTAGCAGGTTCGCTGTTGAATAGACACTTATATGCGTCACCACAACTCACAGGCCTCTTCGAACTACACTCACAATTAATAGGAAATGATGGTGGAATGTTGATTGTTTTAAATAAATGATTATGTGTATAGTTACCCAACTAAAAATCAGTAGGATTTTTTTAAAGGAAAGTAATACTTTTTATTCATGAAAGATGCATTAAATTGATCAAATGTGACATTAAAAACAAGATAAAAACAGAATTGTGAGGAAAAAAGTCTGAATTGCGAGATATAAAATCGGAATTCGAAGAAAGTCAGAATTGCAAGTTATCAGAATTGTGAGATATAAATGCAGAATTGTGAGTAAAAAAGTCTGAATTGTGAGATAAAAAGTCACTATTACCTTTTTTATTTTTTATTCCTTGGTGAGAAGAATTGTGAGAAAAAGTTTCAGAACTGCGAAATATAAATATAAAGTCCAAATTGCGAGATAAAAAGTCCGAATTATTTTGAATATTTCACAATTTTCCTGTTTTTACAGTATTTTTTTTAACAAAACAAAAAAACGCAGCCTCTGTGAGGATAAGAGACGTCTTTCAAAAACATTAAAAAATCTTAATGATTTCAAAAAATAAATAAAAACTATAAAACACAAAAAAATAAAGTCACTAGAGTGAAAAACTAAAGTGAAAGAACAAAATGAAATACAACAGGATAAAATCAAATCCTGTCTGACATTGTTTTCTCTGATTCATTCAGAAGTGCATTATATTACAGAAGTAAAATGGATTGTGAATGCTTTTGTTTCAGATGTTTTACATTCTCAAGAAACCCAAAAGCTTATGTTTGCTTCAAAAGACATTGATCAAAAGTACTTTGAGTCTTGGCTCCTGATAAGCTTTATATCATATGCATGTTCGTGTCAATGACTTTGCATGTTTTTGTTAAACCCCAGGAGAACGGCACAAGTGTTTGTGAGTCACATAATCAGCTATTGTTTGGATCAGCATTGCATGCTTCATCATAATAAATCAGGCCCTGTGTAAAAACTCTGAGCAATGCTGATGACCGAGAGCCATGTGCTGTGCGACAGGCCGCGGAGAGGTGAAACTCTGCTCAGAAACAGGAAGAAACAGGTCTGCGCTCTGGGAACATTCTGGAACTTTCCAAAGCTTTTGGCTCCCGCTCTCAGCAGCTCATTCAAAGCGAGTGTCTGAGAGTTTGTGTACACTGCTGTGAGTCCTGTCAAGCGTCAAGTTGTCTCCATAAAAACATCACAGCTCAAAGAATATTGGAATCGGCAACCTGTAAAAGCGGAAAACAACGAAAAACAGAAGCCTTAAAGTGTGTGTTTTTGAAGACAGACAACACAAACACTGCGAAATATGATGAATAGGCCTATGCTAAAAAATATATTGTCCTTTTTTTTTTAATAGTAAAGTCATTTTTTCTCTCTCCCTGTTTATTAAACTGCTGGAATTATCAGAGTTGTTGCTGCTAACTAAAACTAAAACTATAAAAGCAATGTGTTTGCCAATTGATATAAAGCTGAAATAAAAAATATATAAGTTGAAAAACTTTAGGTTAAAAACTGAAATGAGAAATAGAAACAAATAAAAAAACTAAAATCTGTATATATTAAAGCTATTTATAGAAATATAAACAATAATAAAAATGACAAAACCACACAAAAATTACTAAAACTTAAAAAAAAAAAAAAAAAGCTAAATTTTAAATAAATATGTATAATAAAATAAATACAATAGTAAATAAATCATAAAACACATTAGAATGCATTTAAAAATACTCTAGCAACCCCATAGAAACTCAGAATGTGTTAGTAATGCCCTGGCAACCACCCAAAAAACAACTATGAATACATTAGTGATGTTAGTGAAGGGCATTATAGGCTACTAATGTATTCTGTATTACTAACATGTTCTGAGTTGCTATGGGGTTGCTAGGGTGTTAGTAATGCCCTGGCAACCACCCACAACACCCTAACAACCCCATAGTAACACGTTAAAATCATTCAGAATACATTAGTAATGCCCTAGCAATCACCCAGAACACCCTAGCAACCCCATAGCAACTCGGAATATGTTAGTAATGCCATGGCAACCACCCAGAGCACCCTAGCTACCCCACAGCAACTCAGAATATGTTCATAATACCCTGGCAACTACCCACAACACCTTAGCAACCCCATAGCAACTCACAATATGTTAGTAATGCCCTGGCAACCACACAAAACACCCTAGCAACCTCATAGCAACATGCTAAAAACAACTATGAATACGTTAGTGATGTTAGTGAAGGTCATTAGGCTACTAATGTATTCTGTATTATTAACATGCTCTGAGTTGCTATGGGGTTGCTAGGGTGTTAGTAATGCCCTGGCAACCACCCACAACACCCTAACAACCCCATGGCAACACGCTAAAATCCTTCAGAATACATTAGTAATGCCCTAGCAACCACCCAGAACACCCTAGCAACCCCATAGCAACTCAGAATATGTTAGTAATGCCATGGCAACCACCCAGAACAACCTAGCAACCCCACAGCAACTCAGAATATGTTCATAATACCCTGGCAACTACCCACAACACCCTAGCAACTTCATAGAAACTCAGAATATGTTAGTAATGCCCTGGCAACCACCAAGAACACCCTAGCAACCTCATAGAAAGTCAGAATATGTTAGTAATGCCCTGGCAACTACCCACAACACCATAGCAACCCCATAGCAACATGATAAAAATCCCTAGTAGTACACTTGTAATGGTGTAACAACAATCCAAAACATCCTAGCAACCCATAGCAACTCAGAATGTGTTAGTAATGCCCTGGCAACTACCCAAAACACCCAAGCAACCCCATATCAACTTGGGGAAAAAATCACTCCAAGCTCCTTAGCAACCGCATAGCAATGCCTGTAACAAACTAACATCGTAGCGGCAATGCTACATTCAGTGAATAAAAAAATGTAGTTATTTCATCTGGTGTCGCTAGTGACTCATAAAGGACACACTTCACCTTTAACGCAAAAACAAACAGGCCAGCAGAACAAGTCAGACGGCTGCGATCTCCTTCTGTGTGAATTATGTTTATAGGTGTGATCTTGAATGACGGTCACCTTCACTCACTGACAATCTGCTCACAAAAGCAGGGAGTCGCCGAAGCCAAGGATGAACTACTGCAGTGTTCTCCTCATTTCTGTAATCAGGATCTGCTGCATGTGTGCAGATGTACAGGAAGCGTTTTGAGGACGCTCCATAGGCACCATCATTAGATGAACCAATTCAATACCTCACATTTTGAATCTCCTGTTTGGATATAATTAGTATGCATTATTTCTCATACTTCAAAGCTTTTATGTGTTTATAAGCTCTTCTGAATAATGCAAACCCACTTGTAGCAACAATAGAGATGGAAAAAACTATTGCTGTTTTCTTTTTCTTGTTTTGAATACAAAGCGTGTGCTGTCTGCATGAATTTAGCGAGAATCAAGTATATGGAACAGGAACAGCTGCCCAATTCAACCTCATGTTTTTCGAAACCTTTTTGCCTTTCTTTCTGCATTGAAACATAAAAGGAGATGTTTTCCACAATGTCCGTGCTGCTGTTTATAAAATGCATATAATATGTTTATAATATGTTTATATGTGCATTAATTTTTATATTTTTTATAATTTAATATTTAAAATAATTAAAAGCTATTTTTCCAACACATATGTACAATATCATACAATATAAATTTGTCTACTTCAGCTTGAACGTTTTTCAAATGATCTCCTTTTGTGTTCTACAAGTGGCTGGAGAAATTTCTGGTAAACACCTGTACAGAAGACAAAAATGCATTTGAAAAGTAGAATTTAATGAAATATAAACATATAAATTATTACTTTGTGACAAGGCTATTTTAATATTATTTATATACTATTATAGTATTCATTAATATTTTGAATTAGCTTTCATTTTAAAATTTTCAGTTTTCATTTGTAGTAAAAGTTTTAGTAATTTTATGATGTGCTTTTTTCATTTTTATTAGTTTTTTTTTAAATACTTAATTATTTCAGTTTTAGTTTAAGACATTTACTTTAAATTACATTTATTTTATTTCAGTTCGTTGCCAAGGCAACATTTCTAATTCTCATTTACGTTTTTCTAATTCTCATTTACGATTCTAATTTTAAGTTATTAAATATTTATAGTTTATTTTATTTTATTTCAGTTTTATTTTAATTAATTAATTTAATTAATTTTTAATTTTGACAATTTCAACAATTAATATTTTAATTATTTTAATTAACAATTAATTTTAAAAGATTTAGTGTCAGTTTTAGTTTACAATAACAACACTGATTTGTGATTTTTGCTGAATGTGTAAAACTGACAGTGTTTCATAACCTGGCGGTGGGTTTTGCATAGGCAAACATCACCATTATCTTCAGACATGTCATTGTATTTAATATTTTTTTCTGTCTTGTTATTCAAGTTGCTGCTCAACTGTACAGTACTTCAAAAGTTTATGCATGAATGTCTTTTGTAAATTGGGTAAGATTAATTGTGCATTGTTTGCGGTGAGAAACTGGATTAAATAATCCTTTGACACAGAAGTGCATGAGGTCTTTCATCACCCTGGATGACACAGAAATCAAACAACCCTTTTTTTTCGGAAAGCTGAGAACGACACACCCACACCGCCTAAACCTCCCATGAACACCTGCTCTAGCGCTTCATCAGATGGCCGTAACAATCAGGTGACAGCTGTGACTCATGACAGAATGACATGTTTACATACATCACACACACACACACACACACACACACACACACACACACACAAACATGAGCTGTAGTTGTACTTCAGGTTCGGCAGGCAGATCCTTTTGTTCCAACTGTTGCCGGTCAAACAAGCTCCTGCACCCTGGTAACTGTAGCCATCGGCGACACTGAACATGACACACAAAACATGTTTTCAGTAAATATTTCCTGCTTGTAAAATCTCTGAGTGCCAGAAAGAAAAGCATGACAAAGATGAGTATACTATTACTTAGTATTTATGGGAGTTGAAAGTATTGTTTATTAGCTATTTGTAATTTTTTTTATACCACAACTGTACAATATTTATTTTTAAAAATATATGCATACATACACC